CTTAAATGAAGATGCCACCCCCCAGACTCCCCGTCGTCTGTCCCTTCATGACGTCTCTTCATCGTCGCCATTGTTACTTAATCGTGTAGAAGCGCTTCGGATGGGTGATACATCATGAGCGCAATCACCAAGATTCTCGGGTTATCGGCCTACACGGCTCTCGTAGCAATCTCCCTCCCGTACATCCAACAACACGATATCCCCTCCCGTCTCCAAACATCACTGAACAGGATCCTCTCCCCACCGACAGATGATGCCTTTTCTGAACCCGAGATCTTGACATCGGAGCCCTACGCCTGCCAATCCCAAAACTACACCACGCAAATCGTCTCCCTCGATCCCTTGGTAATCTACATCCACAACTTCCTCTCCGAAGCAGACATCGCATCCCTCCTGGAAGCAGGCGAACCAGCCTTCAAACCCTCCTACGTCGTCAAGAATGGCAGAACGCAAGGAACGCCAGATAGAACCTCCTGGTCTGCTGGTCTCCCTGCCGACGATGTCGCCGTGCAATGCGTGCTCGCCAGGGCGGAAGGGTTCCTGGGCACGATGATGGCGCCCGGGCGGGACGAGATTGGACCGCCCCAGTTGGTGCGGTATACAAAAGGCCAGAGATTCAACGTCCACCACGACTGGTACGATGATTTCCAACCTGATGTTAGGACAGGACGAAGAAGGAAGTGGAACCGGGTGGCGAGCTTCTTTGCGATTTTGGAGGACGAGTGTACGGGTGGCGAGACGTGGTTTCCCAAGATTGAGGCTGTTACGCCGCAGCATCGGAGGCTGGATGATGAAGGGACTATGTGGAGGAAGCACAATGATGGTGGGATCGCGTTCAAACCTGTGAGGGGGAATGCAGTGTTTTGGGTGAATTTGCATGAGAATGGGACGGGGGATGTGAGGGTTGTGCATGCTGGGTTGCCTGTTGGGGATGGGCTGAAGACTGCGATGAATATTTGGCCGAGGACGTATCTTGGGCCTGAGGCTTGGCGGGAGGGAGAGGGGCCGGAGCATGAAGGTGAGAGTGTGCTGGGAGCTGAGAAGGTGAAGGTCGAAGAGAAGGAGGAGGAGCTGATTGTTGATGATGCTGAAGCTGATCCCATCTGAGGTAGGTGACCAAGCCAGCCTTGGGTAGGTAGGTAGATCTCGTGGAGAGCATATTCAAATATCTGAAGCCGCCCACATCCCTTTTTCCCTTTCGGTATTGAGTACTTGGACATGATTGTTTACAACTTGAGCATGATAAGTCCTTGACTTACTGCAGAACTCCCGGTGCCGAAGCATGAGAATTGCCATGCCAAAAGGGATTGTTCTTAGCTTCGAAAGACACTCCAGAATAACTCGGAAAACTAAATACTCCCACTACGAGGAAGCAAAGCTCCCGTAGGTCTTTCCTTTGTACATACATCTTACTTTACCTTCTGAATTGTTCTTTCCTTCACTGACCTCATCATCTCGAATACCGAAGGTACCTTGAGTACCTTCCCTCGGCCAAGTCTCCATCGCTTCCTGCCTTGTATTCATATAAAGGAGACCGCGGTCTTTCCTTCAATTGCAGTCTATATACTTTCTTTCCTTTTGCCCACTCAAATATCGTGTCAAACTCAACCCACGCAAAAGCTTGCGCACTCGCGACTGCCTCTCCCACATGATAGACATCCCATCTTCAAATTTGCCTCTTCTGTCGCTTCCCGAAGTTCTCTACCTCTCCCCTCAACCGCCACGCCGACTTCTCGACGGAGCGTCCTCAAATTCCCGGCAGGTACCATACGGAAGCCCATTCTTTCGGCCCCAGAGGACTACCATGGAGGGTGCTGTCGCACGCCACCGGCACAATGGTGAAGCCGATGCCGTCAAGAATGAAGAGGACAATGGGCTGCCGAAACCCATCCAACTCGCCGGCACTTTTTTCAAGCTTCAAGATCGTCAATTCTCACCAGACAACTCAACCGATGGCTACACCTCTTCCCAAGATGATCCAGAAAAGGTGGTCTTCCTCAACGACCCCGGCAATTTTATCATCGTTACCCTACTCAAACGGTGTCATCGACGGTACACGATTGGCAAACCGCTCGCGATTGACTCTTACTACGTCGGCATCAATGCGACCGACTTCACGCCCGCATTCACTCGCAGCGTCGCTGTGAGCTCGCTGAAAAACAATACCTACGAATACATTGCGCGCACAGGCTCGAGCATGACGCTTCCGTGTCTCATCATCCCGCCCGTCGATATGCTTCGCCCCAATCAGGTACTCTTTCTGAAGCACTTGTCAAGGGAACAAGGCTACGGGAGCAAGTTCCGAGCCGTACCAGAGAATGAGTTAGCGGAATACAAGAAACAACAGCAGGATGCCTTCGCCGCGGGCTACACATGTCCTTTACTCGTGGCCTCTGCAGAAACTATGCCCGATTACGCCGCCATATCTGACACGAGAGAGGACAAGTGGAGGCACTTTAGACTGATGATGCCGAAGATGCAGGGAATAAGCATCCCAAAAGGTCTCATGAGTGAAATTGACGCGTTCCTTGCCAAGTACGAGCAAGATATTGTGTCTCCAATCCTTGCCTTGATCTTAGCCATCATTTATCATGACTGCTACCACGCTCTTGATCTAGGAGCCGAGAAGGGGGCGAATAAGCCCATGAAGCCTGTTCCTTTGGTTTCGCTTGCCCAGATGATATTGTATGGGCCGCACTACTTTCGGATCCACGAGGAACTCAAGCTCTCGGCCTACGTCCACATCTTTCGCGCCGTGGACTACTTTTACGGCAACGATAAGAAGCTCGACGCCTTCGTGATCAACGACGAGGACATCAATACCGATGTTGTTTTCAAGTACATTGATGAGATGGAACTTGACGAGGAGGACTGGCTAGAGATCGTGCCCCCTTCTTGGGAAGGATCAGAAATTACCATGCCTCTGAACCATGGAACTCGAGCACCGCCCTCCCCAGAGCTCACCGCCCTGCTGATGATGCCCGACATCTACACTTTGGGTTTCGCTGGGTACACTAATGAAAAGTGGCCTAACATGGGCAGGAGGACGAGGGATACGCTGATGCATGGTTTATTCCTTCCAAAGCACGTTCAGTCCAACCCCAATCTTTGGCGTCCTGTGGCCGATGAAGAGATTTGCCTCAAGGCCCTGGAGCCCTATCAGGATCAACTCGATCATCAGATATGGTCAGCGCCAAAGATGTCGGTTCGATCGCCCTGGTCTGAGGCGGTGACTTTCGACTCATATTCTGACCCGGACAATGGGGATACGCAGGTGTCATATGAGCTCGAAGCCGAGGACAGAAATGTCGGTAGTCCCTCCGGTCCATGCATCCCACTTGACAAGAGTATCCAAGACACCAAGGACTACTACAAAGTCTTTATCAAAAAGATCCGACAGGGTCAGAACGCAGGGCTCATCGACAAGTCCGTCACATTAGACCTAGATGGCCATCTCACGTGGCCTGGGTTAGAAAATCAGCCTGCCGCAAGACGCAAATTACCCGGAGGGATCGATCTTCAAAAGCTGATTGCTGAGTTCGACGCCGCCGATGCCGATCGCATCTCCAAGATCGATCGTCGCACTCTTCACAGATTACTCCATATAGATCTAGCTGACGGAGAGCATGTGGCCAAATGTGCTCGAGAACTCAAAACTCGCATCAACATCGACGATGAAGATCTGGGAAAGGCTCAGGTGCGAAAGGCCTTTGAAGACTGTCTACTTCCGACGCGCAACGAGACGATGAGGATTTGGAACGAAGCGGCGTCCGCTTAGAAGACGGGCGACGTGCACGCCGATCGACTTATCGCCTCTTGCGCAGAATTATTGGGCGTCGACGTGACTACAGGCGATGATGGCAACGTTGGCCGATCTTCTGACGACGCAATTGCCGCTATTCGAGCGGTGGATGGAGAGCTTGCCAACGTTTTAACCACGTTTACCTGGATAGTCACTCACATTGGGAGGGATGGCACCGAGCCAGTGTTTGAGCTGACCATGAAGTTAATGTTTAGCTCGCGGTGCTTTGATTACTGGGATAGGTTGATGTTGTTTGGCGGGCACATCCAAGGTCGGCCTTTGGACGAGGAGGCAAAGCAAAGGTGGGCTAGGCTCTACGGAGAGCCTTACAGAGGCGATGTCGACAGTGATCAATGATGCGATGATCATAGTGGTGAGCTGTCCCCTGAGTCCGACTCTTACTTCCTCCGATGATTCGGCTACACTGGCTAGAGAATTCCTTCCTCCGAAACCGAATCAACACTGTTTGTTTCAAAGGCCACTAGCAAGATACGCGAAAAAATCTCGTGGGGATGATTCGTACGTTCAAGGGACACCAAGCTGTACGAGATCTCGAAGACACATCGTTGATGACCTTCCTTGGACTATGCGTCTCTTGGAAGATGCTTGAAAGGTTTTGGAGGGGGAGAGATCACTGAGATGCGGGCGGAACAGATCAAGATGGTTTTCTGCCGACATTTCCCTGTCTGCCTCCCCGAGACCTTTGATTTGTCTCTTCCAGAACTACCTGTTCACTCCATAAGCTTCCTCATCGAGATGCAATATAACACAAGCTCCGTAACCAGTGAGAAAAGAATACATGCCGGGTGATTTACGCGATGTCTTCCCCTTGTGCTGCTTCCCATGATTCTCTACAGAAACCCAGCATGTTTTTTTCACCGACAGCGCAGCGTCACATCAAACACGAGTAGTCGCGGTCATCAACATGATCCAAAACTCTTCCGAATTGTTCAATGAAGGGCTACTTGTTGTCTATATCAGCTTCGCTTCAATACAGAGCTGCCTTCCCAATTTATCACTTATCAAGTTCCCACACCGTGTATCGCAGAAAGTCTTGATTGATATATTGCGTTAGAACGACAAAGATTGTCGAGGATGAGGTGATATTTTTCTACGGCAAGAAGTTCAATACCGCAAAAAGTAGATCCGTGTCGGTGCATTTCCCATGGACAGCTCGAAAAGTCACGGTATAAACGCCTCATTGTTTTCCATCATCACCCAGATTCTCAGACTCGGTCTGCTCAACCATCAACTTCTGAAGCTCTTCGACGAGGTTGCGAGCTTGAGCACCCTCGAAATCAGTCGTCGCAAGGTTCAAGTCGATGATCCACCGCGCCTCCGTCTTGTCCGTCATACCTTTGAGAGATGCGTGCCGCCGCTCGATATCATCGAGTTGCGCCAGCACGCGGGTGGCCTTACTTGTTCGTATCGCCGAGTGTCGCAGCGCCATGCCCACCATGCCCTGGGCGATTGACCCAAAGACGGGGAACGACGCGTACAAGTCCTCTAGGCCTGCGAGGCAGACGTCCAAATAGAACTTCCACTCGTTTCCGGGTTGGTCGTCAGCCCGTAGTGATAGTCCCCCTTCTCGGATCATGGCGTTGGCGACGTAGACGGCTGCAGTCTGCCAGAGGACGGAGTAATTCGCGTTCTTGTATCTCAGGCGGTAGAGCAGGAGTAGTCGCTTAAGCTGTGTAACGGACGAAGCATAGACTGCTTCGGGGGTAGCGTGTTGTGTGCTGAAGGAGTAGAGGCGCTGTGATTTGTGCTCGGTTGCGAGGAAAGGACGGAATAGATCGGTCACCACGGCGTGGAAGTAAACGCTGTTGGGCCAATATTAGTCGGAACGCATCATGGGATTCAGGTCTAGGCCAGACGTACTGCAATAGCATGACGCTGTGGTTACTTTCTTCGCCTCTTGCCATATCCAGAGAGAGTGCGCCAGACCAGCAAAGTAGACGGTGATATGTCCCTTCTGCGAATCTCAGTGTCGACTCAAGCGTGGCGCCGTGGTATTGAGGGCCGTAGAATCTTTCCAGTATGTCCTTGAAGATAACCCACATATCGCTCGCGGCACTGAGGAGCTGGGCATGGAATGCGGTCTTGGCTGACCTCGGATCGTCGCTTGGTAGAAATAAGACCAGATCTCTAGGCATCGGCAGCAACGGCGGTGTGTGGATTTCGTGGACGCGGTAGTGGAGGGAATATACCCTACGTGGGTTAGAGGCGTCTCTCAATAGCAACGTTCATAGGGTAAAGGCTACTCACGATACCCAATTGTAAACGCCCCAGGCCGTGTATGACGCCGCTCTCGTCCACTCTGTATGGCCGCCAAGCCAGACGGTCGCAGATTCGGCCTCGGTCTGAACATTGAAGAGGCCCATCGCTTTGCCCAACCTAACACTTTCTTGTAGGAACCGAAGACTCATGTCGTCTTTGCCGTACGTCACGGCGCACATGCTTAGGATTTGAAGTGCAGCGACTGTTGTAACGCTATTGGGTTGCTGCTGATCAGAGAAGTACTGCTGAGATTCCGCGAAAAGAGCTACACTGAAAGCGGCGGCATCGGTATGGAGGGTCGTATATGCTTGCTGTTTGTGTCAGCACCTGATGATTGCAATGGGGATGATGGGCAACATACACATGCCCAACTCAACACGGCAGTGACAAGAAACGGAGAGCAAAAGAAATGTTGAACATTAACCAAATCTCGTACAAACAGGTCGGCGTCGAAAAGGGGTATCGTAGCGTAATCAATGTCAAGATAGTGCGATATAACACTGATGGCAAGGTCGTTCGGTATAGGGATGTTTGTCCACTTGCTGACATCAAGCAGACGTAATCGTTCGTCGAAGAGTGGTTTGGGATTCACAGCCCCTGTATGATCAGGTGAACCGGTTTTTGATCCTGAACTTGCGTCCTCATCTCGCTCGGGAGTCAGGTATGGACCCCCGAAAGGGGAGACCTGTCTTGAAGACCTGTGACTTATAAGTCAGTACGCCATGGTGGCATTCGGTCGAGCCTCGAGCCATCTTGTGATGGCAGTGCCGGTTGAAGGTACGTTCACAGGCTCCCCTGACAATGAGGATCTGTATTAGAGAATTGATAAGATTGACATACGCATCTTGCTGCCCCTGCTGCCCTTGCAACCATGCCTTCGTCACAGGCTGGAGTAAGGCTCCGAGAGTCAAGTCCGTGTACGGCACCGGGAACAGGGCAGGATATGCCACAGGGTGTCGAATCGTCAATTCGAAACCAAGGCTGTTCTGCGTGGGTGGGAGAAGGCCTCTAAGGTGTTGCTGATCGGATGGGCGTGCAAGATTCAAAGCACGTCCGGGCGTCTCGTTGCGTAGTTTGCGAAACAATTCGAGGGCTTGTTCTGGCGGAAGTGTTCGAAGAGATTCGAGTATCTCGGCAGGGCCACCTCGTTTGGACTGCTCCACTTCGGCAAGAGTTACACGATGTCGGACGGTATAGGTGTATTCGCAATTTTCCGTTCGGTGATCACACATAACACATCGTGGGAGCCGTCCATCGCACTATCAAGACGGCAATTAGCACCTTGCGGAGGGATCCAAAGCATGTAAACTGATTGGCACGTCGAGAAACAACGCCGCAGGGCAAACGCAAGACAGGGGAGGCCAAGGCCCACCTTTGTCTTTCGCCTCCGGCACGGATCACAGGCGCTGTTGGTCTTGCGTGGCCGCGCAGGACGGCGAAGGCTGATGTTAGGTCGACCAGGCCCAAGACCGGGACCGCGTACGGTACCGGTACCGGGCTCGGCATTGGGATCAGGATTGGAATCGGGGTTCTGCCGTAGGTTGGCCGGTGACCCTTCGGCTAATGGCCGCGGCCGCAGCGGGCGAAACGGCGACATGTTGGATGGTTTCGATTGGGTGGCATTTCGACGGCAGTCGCCACGCGTATCAGGTCATTTCCGAACCTGCTCGAGGGAACACCCGCGGACGGTGGATGGGAGGTGGCAATTGCAGGAATGGTGGCGGGGTGTCGTTGAAGAAATGCGGTGAAGGGGGGGAGGGAAATCGCAACAAGGGCGGCGGTGCTCAGGCCGGAGGCTTCCGAAGGAAGCTTAGCTGTAATTGGTCTATTCTCAGGGGAGCTTTTTGTTGGCTCGCTTCGGTCTTGCACCAGTCCAAATGCATTCTACGGTCTATGGCGGTCTGGACCGTCGATCCCCCGGTGAGTGCGGGCTGATCGGTGAGCGCCTCACCCCGGCAAGGTGAGCGGTGAACACTTCCACATATCGCGGCTCGTCCATTAAGGTTGTACGATACTGCACTTTATTGTGCATACCGGCTGCTTGGTCCTTCAGCCCTACGATCAGCTAGGCTTGTCTATGCTTCCCCAAACCATTTTCCTAAGCTGCAGAGTCAGAAACTAATTTCACTTCGCAATTCTAGTTTCCTCATTCATGCACGTACTCAGCGTTCTCGAATCGCTACATGAACCTCACCAGTGATTTTGAACTTCGAATCATGCATATTCCAGGATGTCAGCTCTACACACGTCTCTACTGACAGTCAAGGTTCTATCAATTGTCAACATATTGTTCCCATTTGGCACGCCGCCGATAGCCGAACGGTTTCATCTCAAAAAACCAAGTCTGGCACGGGCAGGTAAGCTTTTGGTGTTTACAAACTACCTATTGGTGTGTTCGTTAAATGCCCCACGGCATCCGAACTTGTCTAAGCTCTTTGAAATCCCCAGAAATCTCGTTTCGAAACCAATACTCCCCCAGACCCGCTGCCAACACTTGACTGTTGCGGATGTTGGTTCAAGCGGCTAGTTCAGGTCAGCTGCTTAAACCTCGAAGTCTAAGATTGATCTCCAAGCCTTGACAAGTTAATCTGTTCTACACAGGATCTGTGTTGCCCCCGGTTATTTATCATTAGATCTATATGATTGATATAACGAGTACGTCCCCCCCGCATTATCACTCTTTGTGTTTTCAGCTGGACTAACATCGCACCTCTCGTTGGACGACCTAGTTGAAACGGCTGGATGTAATGGAATGGCTTCACGCCTGAACTATCACGGCCATCTAGTCAACCTTTGAGTGGACCACCGCAATGGCCCGAATAGGCACACAAAGAGTAAAGACGGGTTGTACAACCTGCAAGATCCGACGAATCAAATGCGACGAGGCGCGTCCATCCTGCGCGAGATGCATCTCCACCGGCCGCAAATGTGACGGTTACATCTCCCCGCCGACGACGACGTACTCCTGGGCGCAACTCTTGAGATCATGCCCCGTGAACAACGCAACTTCGATTCGGGCTTCACAGCCGACCAGAGCCAGCATTGTCTACGCCGAGCGGACGATGGACTTTTACCGCAAGGTTACGGCGCCGGCCTTTGCTGGGTCACTCAACTCATACTTCTGGACTAATGTCGTGATCCAAATGTCGGACCAAGAACCTGTGGCCAGCCATGCTGTGCTGGCGCTCAGCTCCGTGTACGAGACATTCAGCAACGGATCATGGGAAGCAGGCTCCTTTGCTGTGTGGCACTACAACGAGGCGATCAAGCTCCTCCGCACGACGACAGATCGCGCGCTGATTCTCTTCGTCTGTGTGCTTTTCATCTGCATAGAGCTGATCCGTCGGAACCCAAAAGACGCCACTACTCACTGCCGGCACGGGATCAACATCCTGAATGAGATACATAACGAGTCTGACTTTCTGCGGAACCACATCACACCAGTCATGCGGCAGCTTAGCATCGCACCATACCGATACGGCATCAACCCAACGACCTTTCCAACAGTGCGCCAACCCGTATCGACCTCGACCAACCGGATTCAGAATGTCGCAGAAGCTCACGCTCGACTCTTGACGATTCACGTACGCCTTGTCCGGCACATGGAATGTGCGTGTATTACCGACTGCTGGCTTGAGACCGGAAAAGAAGGTCCAGAACCAGACGCGAAATGGCTTCGACAATTCATCCTCATTGATCTAGATGCATGGTACAAGGCATACAGGGAGATGAAGAAAGAGGAGAGGTATACCAGCAAGGAGGAGGACATGATACGGTTGCTAGACATTCGTTATCTCGTGGCCAGGATTGCCCTTTTGGCTTCTGAAAAGAAAGACGAAGGCGAGTGCGTATATGATGCGCACACGGACAAATTCCGCGCCATCGTCGTTCTGGCATCACAAGCGGAAGGCTCTTCAGAGGCGTCCAAGTCCTCAGCAGGCTGGGGAACCGAAAGCGTCCTCGAGCTCGGCTATAGCTCTCTCCTCTTCATGGTGGTCATCAGGTGCCGCCACCTAAGACTGCGACTCGAGGCCCTGAGGTTGATGAAGAAGCTCATGCAGCCCGAAAGGAATATTTGGGAGAGGAATTTGGCATGGTCTATCGCAAAGCGGGTGGTTGAGATTGAGCATAATATCGCTCTCGGCGATATCATCGAGTTGGACGCCTTCGATACCTCTGATGAAGGCAGTGGTGGATTCGTGCCCGAAGATAGACGAATAGTTGCGATGAACTTTCGAGAACCGCCGGAAGCCACGATTCCGCCACGGAAAAAGGTGCATTTCTACCTGAAGAATCAGAAGACCGGTGAAATTATGAAGAGGGAAGAGCATGTAGCAGTATGATACCACTGGGAGATGCGGGCTTTGATCAAATGTGTACAAATTTTCGATTAGTCTGGACTTTTGAGGCCGCTGCCTTTCCATTTCAGTACACATGGACGTTCAAATTGAGCAGCATTAAACATAGTCAATAATATGGATCATCTATAAGAGACTCTTGATGTCTTGTGCTGTGAGCATCCGATCCAACTGCATGACGCCCTCGACCGGCTTCAACCAAGATGCGCGCGTGTCGATAAACTGCTCGACCTGAGGCCTGAGCTTCGTCTCCACGAGGCGGAAATCATCGACAGTACCAAGCCTGAGAATGCTCATACCTGGTAGACCGGAGCTGACGCGGTACATGAGCGTGCCACAGGTGCCGCAGAAGTGATTTGCCATATCGTTGCCAGTCGCGATGGTTCGAGACTGGCTGAAAGACTTCAGGTTCTCCTTACCGCGGATGTGGCGGAGGTGGCTGTCGGCAACGGAGAAGTTGGAGCAAAACATTGAGGAGGAGATTTTACGGCAGTCTGTGCAGTGACAGATGAAGCGATTGAGGAGGCCGCGGCCTTGGGTTGGCTGATAGGGGCTGTTAGTGCGATGATTCTTTCTTGGGCTTTGGGTTGGTGTTATGGGATGAATTGATGTGGAATCTTACAAATGAGAGCTGAACGGCGCCACAGAGGCACATTGCCGTTGCTTCATTCTCCGTTGACCAGCCGTCCTGAGCTACGCCGGCAAGAGGGATGAATGACGGTGAGGTCTTGTCATCTCTGGCGATGGAAGACATGATGTGTGATGTAAATGAGGTAATTTCGATGACTTACTGTGTAATAAATGGTCGAAAACAATATGATTATGGAAGAAGAATTGAATTCAAGCGGATGAGGGGGAAGCGTTGGATATATAGATCATCTGCGAGTTTCGTATAGCATCATGACCTAAGTAAGCCCCTTGGGCTTGGCGGTAGTCTCGAGGCTTTCCCGTCGACCATGATTAACAAACACCTGAATTTCGCCAGTCCAGACCCTCAGATTACTGCCAATCTACGAGATTCGCAGAAAAGCCCGCTGATCGTGTGGACATGTTATCACTGCCGGTGACAGGGTGTGATCCAGTTTATACTGGCACTCAAGGCCAAGCAAGACGCATGTGATTACTACATCACTTCCCTTACTTTGGTCTTCAGTGGCTCCTCAAGTAGGTACCATGGCGTGCGGGGATGCATCGACTCACCCACGCGCGCAGCAAACGGGAATAAGACGAGGGGCATTCTAGTGCTGTGCCAGTAAGCGCTAGGCACACATGTTTCGGTATGTGATTGCGAAGCTTTGCTTACTTCAGTCGGCCTAACTTCAGTCCCTCAGATTCTGCATCCCCAGGCTTAAACCCGGGCCGCTGGTTTCACTCAATGGAGGAAAGACATTGGGATACAACCTCACTTCACTGAGGAGGTATTCATGTTCATAATAGGTGAAAGTGAGTCACCCCGCAATTGCTTGGTAATATGAACTCATCTATCTTGCTGTATCATCCAGTGAGAGAAAGCAACCCTCTATGACTATTATCAATCCATCGCTACCATTTTGAGAAGTACACCACCACTGAAAAGGGCCCGTAATACAACTCAATCGACACGGCGAACGCTGAAGGCGTGTGTGACCTGACCCGTCTCAACACCCATGGTGTTGGTACGCTTCAAGTGATGGAAGCTCACCAATTTACGTCGCATCTCTGGCGTCCCAATTCGAAGCTGATCCAGTATCTCAGGAACAGCAGCATAGAGGATTTCGAGGCTCCCGTCCTCGATTTTAACTGCAATGCCAACGGCCCCCTCCGCGCCAAGCTTCCTCGTGGACCCTGATGCGCGGATACCGATGGTGTAACATCCGTCTGCGCCAACTTTGCCGATAAGACTGCCTTCGAACGCTTCCATTAGGATAGTGCAGAAACGCCCCTCTCCGCCGACCATCTCAGGGTACGTCGCCATGGCGTTGTAGATATCGGACATATGTTTCACTCTCACCGGTTGGACGCTTCCGTCCTCTTCATTAGCATCCGCGGCGGCGGCAAAGGCAGCATACATGCGACCCATCGAATAGAGAGGTTGCCCGGGTGCAGGAAGATTGCAGCCGTCAATGGCCCACTTGATCTCGTCACCGTCAAGCCCGCTCAAGTCTTCAACAACCTGCTTCACCTTTTCTTGGATCGGATGGCTAGGGAGGTGATAGTCTTCGAAACTCGCACCTAGAGCCTCCGCGCCGCCCAACATGCCCGCATGTTTACCAGAGCAATTGTTGTTAATCTCGGTTGGCGTATATCCAACCCTGATCCAGGACCTATCCACGACTGGACAGATTGAAGGGTGACCGCCGCACCGCAAGTCCGACTCTTGCGCCCCAACCTTGGATAACATTGACTTTGCCCTCGAGACGTGCCGGTCTTCGCTGTTGTGAGATGCACACATCAAAGCTATATCAGCTCCGTCGAAGCCGTACTTGTCGAAGCCTGGGGTTTCAAGCACTGCGAGAGCTTGCGCTGGCTTAGATGCGGAGCGAGCCAGCGTCATTCGTGAAGGATTGCCGACTGCATAGAGGACCTTGCCATCAGCGTCGACGACTGCAGCGTGGACTTCATGTCTATTTTCGATCACGCCGCCTCTATCGGTGACCACATAGTCTTCGAAAAGGCTTGTCTTTGTCATGCTGAAGCTGAATTACCCGATGTGATGTTGTGGCGGCGATGGAGCACTACGATGTGACAGGTGAAGTTGTGCTGAAACTTGCAAGATGCAAATGACTCGGCAGTAAATGCTCTGATCTGGATGCGCGCGACTTGCGTAGCTCAAACCTCGGAACCAGTGTGTGCGCCTCTCTATTTATTTTTCCAGCGAGCTCTGTATTGTAAACGAATATTAAACAAATATGTGGGTTGATGAGTTGAGTTGGTGGATGTACCTTATTCATTGGGAAAACCTCCAAAGGGCGTCGTTTGACAGTGCAAGGACCCCTGCGCCCGAAGAATAAGGGTCCAATGCGTCATGTCGGTCAGCGAGCTTACGTTACTGCATCGGGCACATTGTAGGATTGCGGGACTGGTGTTTTAACCAATTGGAGGCACGCAGATCCCATTACTCAGTATGATTCATAGCACACCATCTTGTTGATTCAACGCTGAGAAGTGTCCTCCGAAACTTGCTGCTTAGATAGAGTATTGTGGTGTCTCTATCAACTGGCAGAACGCGTTTGTCAAGTACAATGTCCAAGTCTGCCGCCGGCCTAAAAGAGCGATTAGGTTATGCTTCGGGGCGGATGATTCGAATAGTCACCCAAATATCTCGCACCAGAGAGTGTCGAAATATCACTTGAACAGTCTGTTGGTGGTTGACGTGATAAGGGAGATTTTCTGGTTCGAAATCCAAGTTCTGTTCAACTCCAGAGAAATTGAATTCACCAAGACTTCGACGACTAATTATCGTAACAAAACCCAATAAACAGCGGTAGAGAACACGAAGAGCAGAAAGCCCAAGACTTCAATCCTATTACGCACAATACAATTACTTTTACAAAACTTATTAGACCGCATAACTCAAAACGACCAAAGTACCTCACCAACTAGGAAAGGCGTGCGCCCTTTCATGTGAAAATGACTCTTGACCCAGTGTTGCTACCCCACAACCGGAAGCCGTCCCGGTCCGGCACCGGTGTCGGTTTTTCCAAGACTCTTTGTCATAAAAACCTAGACTACCCCACGGGGGATGCAAAGAAATTCAAGGTGCATCTCGAAAGCGTTTCGACGGAAGGCCTGTACTGAACGACGCATCTTCAACGTCCCGGTGCTTCAGTCAAGATGTCGGTTGAACTGCGCCCGATGCCGAACTCCGGCGCGGTTGTCTCGGCGCCGCAGAGTGATGAGGAAGACGGAAACACCTTGATCCACACTATGCCGCCGACCGACAAGGGCGCTGCAGCATGGAAGTTTTTGCTTTCCAGCTTCGTTATTGAGGCACTTCTATGGGGTATTTCTTAAATTCTCCGAAAGAGTCTGACGGGGCGGTGTCACTAACTTTTCCAGGATTTCCCTTGACCTTTGGTGTCTTTCAGGAATACTATTCCTCCCAACCACAATTTGAGGGTGACTCCAATATCGCTGTCATTGGCACGGTATCCACGAGTATCTATTTCCTCGGAGCGCCGCTCGCTGCGCCTGTGGTGAAAAGATTCCACCGATACCAGAAGCACATGGTCGTCGTCGGCTGGGCGATGTGCGTCGCGTCTCTGGTCGGCGCGTCCTTTGCCACCTCAATCGCGGGTCTGATCGCAACCCAGGGTGTCTTGTACGGTTTTGGATTTTTGATGCTCTACTTCCCGGTGTTGCGGATGTTGAACGAGTGGTTCGTCGCCCGGCGCGGACTTGCATATGGCGTTCTTTACGCCGGCGGCGGGTTTAGCGGCGTTGGGATGCCTTTCCTGCTGCAAGTACTGTTGTCCAAGTATGGATACCAGACTACGCTCCGGGCTGTAGCTGTCGCTCAGTTCCTTGGGGTTGCGCCCATTCTGCACATGATCAAGGGCCGACTGCCGCCGTCCCCTCACGGTGCCATGCGCATGTTCGACGTCAGCTTCCTGAGACAGCCCCTATTCTACTGCTTCGCACTCTCGAACTTGTTCCAGGGTTTCGCTTACTACATCCCGTCTTTGTATCTGCCCTCTTACGCTAGTGCCATCGGGCTTTCTGGTACCATGGGGGCGCTTCTCTTGGCAGCGCACAACTTGGCAACCGTTTTCGGGCAGATTGGTTTCGGATGGCTTTCCGACCACACGAACAACGTCTTTATGCTCATCTTCGTCTCTTCTTTTACGTCGGCGGTGGCGGCCTTCACTCTCTGGGGATTCGCCCACTCTCTGCCGCTGTTAGTCATCTTTGCACTGGTCTTTGGCATGTTTGCTGGAGGCTTCCTCATCAACTGGCCAAAGTTTGGGGCGATGCTTTCCGACGACCCGCAGCCCGTGTACAGCATGATGGCGTTTGGCAAGGGCATCGGGAACTTGGCCACCGGCCCGATTACTGCCGGATTATTAACCAAGCCGGTGAGCGGAGGGTATGGGATGGGCCGTTACGAGTCGCTCATTTTGTTCTTGGGCTCTTTCATGCTTTGCTCTTCGTTGGGGGCCTTCGCTTGGCCTTTGAAGAAGCGAGCTTAAGGGTCATTGATTCAGTACAACCAGTCGGTACGGAAAGATCGCCCGGTTGCCCATTTCTTGCCCACGACATCCGGTACCTAAGAATCAGAGCTTTGAAGCCGTTGTCCTAGTCTACCATCAGCAACGCCTGCCTTTCCGACACCTGCTGGCTATCAGCTGATGCATTGTCTTGGCCGTGGCTCAAGCAGAAGTCATTTATAGTAAAATACTGGGGAAACCTGACTCAAGAAGAATTTCGTCCGCCGAAACCGAGTCAAAAGTTGATGTCCCTCCCTAACTTACCCAATTACCTTTCAGAAAACTCATACATGGGCCCCTGCTTAAGCCTATGAACGATTGATAGCCCGCTTGGCGTGGAGGATATTCTATAATATCCAGCCGCCCTATGAAGGCTTCGCTGTCCCTTCGAGGCCTGCTCAAGAGCTCACTGTCAGAAATTGATTAAGTCTCTGGTTTGAGAACGACGTCAAATCGCCCCAAACTAGCATCGTTGACGTAGATCGCAATATCTAAACACAACCCTAAGTGTCCGAAATTTGTAGATAAAGGGGTCCTCAATCCACCAACGGAATGCGCCTGTTGAACACATTCTTGTGAATGATTTGAAACTTAGGATCACGACTCAGCCAAGACACATAGTCAGGTACCTAAGATTATTCTACCAGACACCATCAATCACCCAGACTGGACCCGAAAGGCAATGCGTTCATTCGCCGTAAGCATCACGCTGCTTTCCTTCCTTGCCACAGGATCGATTGCCCAGAACAACGGTATCACACCTGTGACATGCCAGCCAGAGACAGTAAACTGTGTTAGTCCGAACATTAAGCTGTCACGGTTCGCAAACATATCTAATCTTGCTTCCTTCAGGACTCAACGGCAGACTGTGAAGCAAAGGGCAAGCTTGGCGGGTTTCCCTGCCCTGCTGGGTCCGGCCAAAACGATGCCGACTGCTGGATTGCCTCGAGTTCCGATCCCAGCGTACAAATGACCGTGCAGGTACATCGTTCACTTCAATTCCTTTCTATGGATGCTTTGTGTAAGATCTGCTTGCTGACATATCTCACGCAGTGTTGGTGTTGCAAGGCATCGAGCAAAAAGATGTTTCGTGCCTAAGAGCACTTGGATAGTCGATCATTTCAAGAAAATCTTCTGTTTAAGCAGGCAAAATATATTTGAATCCGTTAGTGCGTCTTTAGATCTAGCGGGTATCTCGAGTGGCTGGCAATTCTCTGTTGTGCCAGATCGATAGTGTCCGTACAGAACAAGCCAGCGACCCTTGACTGAGCTAAAGTCTTCTACAAGGTACACCATCGAAGCATGATCTTGGTCGATTGCATCAGGATCTGTCCTAGTAGAAAGGAAAATGCATTTGATAACACCAGTCATCTAAAACTCAGACCCATTCGGTTCGTGGCTGCGTCTGGTTCGTGTCCCCACTCGCTCCTGTGATACCTTGAGTCCATGTTCGAGCTCGAGTTGGGCTGAAGCTAACCGTCGCCCTTTGCCGATGGATTTCTCGGATTGCAACTCGGAAGGGTTCGGTGAACTTTAAGAGAACATCCCAGATGTACTTGACAGGGCCAAAGAGATCAAACAGGTACGCCCGATACCCTAGGACAATTTGGGTTGAAATTTTGCGAAACCGTGAAGAGCCGAGGTAGAGACAGGAAACAAAGGCAATGAAGTATGTGAGAATGGGTACTGTGATAAAGCTTTCCTGGAATCCGTCGGGTACCTTTGGCTTTCCACCATCGGAGGGACTGTTCAGAAATGGAAGCGCCCAAAACGTCTTGAGAGCACTGTCAGTATTCCTACGGCGATTGCAAGCCAGCTGCTCAGTTGATATACAACACGTACCGCCATGAACCCAATGGGGGTGTACAAAATCGTAAAGGCAGTAAGCACGTAAACAGATCTGTTCAACGCCATGCCGTTGTTGGTCTCCCGCAAAGATGTTGCGTTAAACATCTAAATGATTTAGCGAGAGCTCTCGAAGACATGAAAAATGAAACTTCACTGGGATGATGTTGCTTACGCTTTCTTGATGCACCTTGAGGTCTTCTATTTGCTGATTGACACGACCCTGAAGCCTTTTAGTTGACGCACTGATGGACTCGGCGACGTATTTCCAGCTTTCTTGCACGCCATTCAATTCGTCGTCACGTATGATTTGAGTAGCAGAGGACACTGCTTCGAGGAAGTGCCTGTGATTTGCTCCGAAGTTGGACGCTGTTTCTTCCAGAGAATTCGAGGCAAGCTTGAGGAATTGAAGCAATGAAAAGTATCTTTTGGATACCTGCAATGACCGATCGAACATCAATTCGTCCAGCCGATGCGTGTCCTGGATTTCATGCATCTACGACAACTTGAGTAAGCACTCAACATTATTTGCAGTAGTGGGGTGTGTACACCAATGTGGTCTTCCATGAACGGCATAAAGGTAAGTAGGTAACATCTAAGCTGGAAGTCAAAAGACTTTAGGAAAATATTAACTAACCTGTATGGACGTTTCAGCTTCAATGACATCCAATATCTCATGCCAGCGCTGCTCCCAGGTACCCATTATTGTGAAAATAATGAGCAAATGATGGCAAATTCCAGAAGGCTGGAGGGGTGGTGTAGACCCTTTGCTATTTCTCACTAAGTTACTCAATGATTCTGGAGAAAGGTTGTGTTCCACTTTGTCATCAGCTAGTATGACGGTTGTGTACTTTGAACCTGTCGAAATCTCGTCCAGAGTAGTCACCACGGTTGATCTCCTTTCAAGAACCGTAGATCTCCGTTCATCCGACATAATGTCTCTCCACTTCCCGTTGACCGTGGTCCGCGTCTGTCTCAATGTCGAATACTTTGCCAGTGGGACCGAGTTGATCCGTCTGAAGATGGAAAAGAGTAGATCTATCCCAGAACCTCCTGCTCCTCCAAGAACGCTCGCCGCTAACATGGCCGTCAACGAACCAGGCCCAACTTGTCGAGCCTTTTGATGAGTGTAGTCGCTGTCAGACCGGTCTGTGGGATATTGTGGCCCAAAAATACTCCCAAGTTCTCTGCACAGCAGAATGCCTTCCTCATGTGTTTGTTGGTCCTCTATGTCCGGGAAATGTATCAACTGAACCCAGTAGCTTATGCTGAAGACAAGTCTCATGGATCCTCGACCTGCTCCCGTCGGATCAGATGGCCGTGTAAATGTTTGACATTGAGAACGGCGGTGGGTCGTGATGTGGCGCGGGAGTATGTAGGAGGAAATGATTCCAATGATTTGTTCCGAGCTCGCAGGTGAAAGCCAACTTGATAGAGAGGCCAATACTGGTATGCTCAATGTCGATCTCCTAAGAACACGCGACTTGACCATCCTGTTCCGTTGACAATTATCATTTTACTGCGCCAATGTGCTAAGGAGGGAAACAAACAATCTCAACGTACCAAACTTTACCCAATGGTGTCTCGACCCGATCCTATAGTGTTAGTATTAGTATGAGAAACTCACGATATGTTTTGTCTACAGGGTGTTGAACGAACCGTTTGACTGGAGAGAAACGGTGTCCCAGACTGATTCACGGAGTAGCACGCGCCTCCGGAACTTGATGGACTTACATCCGGGATGAAAAGCTCGCGCGTTCCATGACGGATGGTTTTGAAGTTTGACTGACAAAGGCTACGGATCCTTGATCTAACGCATATATAGAGCGCACGCGCATCTTTTCCTTCCAGGGCTGGAAGTTCGACCAACTGGAACTTGGTTCTGACGTAGTACGTGTATTGTGTATATGCGATTTCAACATACTGTTCCCAGAGGCCTATGTGTAGGGGATCTTCCGTGAATTCCTCGAGAATCGATGTCGAAGCACCAGCTTTCTCCAAGTTCAGTTTCATAGTCATGAAACCAAACAAAGGATGACTCATGAGAAATGAAGTACCGGCAGCTTGAAATATCTTCATGCGAATGCCGGTAGGAAGAGGGCTGACGAACCACTCATCCAGATCTCTTGGTAAGCGAACTATAGCATCGGGCTGTGGTAGCTCAGACACTACAGGACTCCCAGAGACTTCTGATGGGGCGCCCGTTACTGTAACGACATCTTCGGGGGGGTTAGAATCATCGAGCTGTGGTGGCGCAGGCGTTGCGGTATTCTCAGAAGTGTCTGGCGGTGTGTCAGTTGAGACATTCGCTGGAACAGCCTCTGTCGAGATATCAGGATTGGTAGCTGGCGCTCCACATTGCAGTGGCGCGATCTCTAGCGGCGGTTCAGATGCTGTAGTACTCTCATGGAAACCTCGTGTTGCGTCTGTTGAGCCTTCTACTGGAACGACTGCTTCTGTTAGGCCAGAGCCGGCGACTGGCGTTGCACACAAAATTGTTTCCACCTCGAGTGGCAATTGTGTAGACATTTCCACATCGCTCTTAGTTTCTGGAGAATTCTGTGAGACCAGTTGCTTGTTCTGTGCGTGTTCAGACCTTTCCTGACCAGACAGGATTCTGGTCAGTTCGGCCAGGTTATTGACGAGTTGGTGAAGGACTTGCTCCAACGGAGCAGGCTGCACTGATGCCATCGCATAAGCGTCGGAATGCTCACGTGTGCAATGTGAGCAAGAGAGAAACAGGACTGGAAATTGGCCGTCTATTATGTACATGTAAATAGTTAAATGAAACAGCAAGCGAGGATTCTCTGTTGCCGCAATTTGTGCATTTCATTGGACCTGGCTTTATCATTCGTCAACGTTTCCAGCTGAGTTGTGTCAAGCTGCACCCCGGAAGTACGATCTCAGCTTGGCTTGGAGCCGACCTCTAGTAGATGACCTATCGCTTAGCCTGAACGTCTCATTGGGTAAAGACCGTCGTGGTGAAACAAGAAGATGCGCATTTCACATAAGCTTGAACAACTTGCATTTTACTCGCATATTATTGCGTTGAGGTTCTTCTTTTGGCGCAGCCATTTCGTGCCACACATGGTTAGTGCTAGGTAATCTCGTATTCTAGCCTTGCCTGCATCGAGTTCGCTGTCGCACAAGACCACTGAGCTGAGCCTCGAGTCTAAGAGGGCGCGGAAGGCTGGGTTAAGAGGTGGGTGTCCAGTCGGTTTCTACAGCCTGGTCGGGGGATCAGCCCCTTCGAGCTTACTCACTTAATACACATGAGTCTGAACAAGATTCTTCTGAGGAAGTTGATGCTAGGCTCGCGGAAGGTTCGGGAAGATGATCGAACGGTCCACCTGCTAGGTGTGCCAAGAGTGAGATATTAATAAGGTATAAAATTATGCTACTAGGGTATCCTCAGAATCAATATGTAATGATCGCAATGTAGTAAGTCACGATTCGGTTGTGCAGCAGAATTGGGCCGTAGACGCGTTCACTTCGCAACCTCAGGCTCTGGAGACCCAACATGACGCTCCGAGGGAACAGACTCGCCATAGGGTCTGCGGAAGAACACATTCCTTTCCCAGCCATCAATCTCATCGACAACAGTCTCGCGAACCAACTCGTACTTGCCAATCTTGGGCAGGATCTTGGCCCAGACAACCCAGTAGAGACCACCAGCCACGATGATAGCGATACCGACAACGCAGTGAAGGTAGTAGGGTAGGCTCTCATAAACGTTCTGGCCCTCCTCGGGGGGCACAAAGGGTGCGATGACGAGGTAGATGTTGCTAAGCATGAAGAAGATGACCACGGGCAGGCTGGCGCTGATGGGAGGGTTCCAGTTCCATTCCTTGCGGTTGAGGTACAGGTAAGCAAGACCGCCAGCGACAAAGACGTTGATGATGGCGAGGGGGTAGCTGATGAGGTTGAGGATGAAGTTGTACGCATCGCCTATAGGTATGTTAGAATGTATGCATCATGACACAGAGCTCGGATGAGTTCTTCTTACCAGGAGGGGGAGCAAGCATCGTGATGACGCAAATCAGCCAATGCTCAAAGAGACCAGCCAAGGGGGCGTTGAGGGGTCTGTTGCTGGCGAAGAATCGCGACCAGGGCAGAATACCCTCGCGACCGAGCTCCTGGACGAGACGGCCCTGGGAGAAGATGACACTGAGAACGTTGCCAAAGGCGGACAGGGCGACGAAGACTGAAAGAGCACGCTCGGCAGTGCCGCCCATTACATTGCGGAAAAGGGACGCCGCCACAAGGCGACCACCCTCAAGGATTTCCTCTCTCGGGACAGCGGCAAAGTAGGCGACGTTAACCAGCATGTAAAGGATGGAGATGGTGATGATACCGACGGGCGCGGCGATCTTGAGGGTACGGACGGGGTTCTTGGTCTCGCTGAGGGCATAGTTGGCATTGCTGTATCCAATGTAACTCCAGATGACGTTGTAGAGAGCAGTGACGACACCGTAGGGGCTGCCGGTGGTTCCCTCGAATGCGTTTTGGAAGTTCTTGGGCTTTTGTTCCTCGGGCAGCTTGACGTGGCCACCGAGAGCAATGAAGCCGCAAAGAATGATGATGACAATAATGACCAGCTTAATAGTTCCGAGAAGGTTCTGCAGGCGCAGACCCCAGTTGAGGGCGAGACCGTGGATCAAGAAGGCGGTGGTGATGCAAGCCAGGCCGATGGCGCGCTGGTTCCAGCGGTCGACCTCGACCTCAGCGGCGTGCAGAATGTACTCGCCAAAGACGACAGAGTTACCACTAGCCCAGCCGAGCAGGATGACGTATCCGGTGTAGAGACCCGTGGTGAGGAACTTGGGCTTGCGGAAGACGTATTCGAGGTAGTTCTTCTCTCCTCCGTTCTTGGGGATTGCGGTGCCCCATTCGAGATAAACCGCGGTACCGGCGAGGGCGATGATCATGCCGGCAACCCAGATAAAGAGTGAAAGGCCGACACTGCCAGAGAGCGCAAAGATGGTGCCGGGTGTCGCAAAGATACCGGTGCCGACAACACGGTTGACGATGAGGAAGATGGCAGTGGTGACACCGATTTTTCGCTTGTTTTCGCGGGCGTGCTCGATGCGGCCTGGGATGATTGATTAGCAAGTTGACGGTTGTGCAGCAGAGCTCGGTCAGCGGAGTGCGCTCCGCAACCATCATCATGAAGAAGACTCACCAACTTCGCTGTCGTAGGTTGTCGCTGCCGGGAGATCGCCATGCTTTCTGTGGTCACCGTCGGCGGGAGTGGCCGACGACGAGGCGCCAAACTTGTTCAAAAACTTGGACATCTTGACGATGTGATGATGGTGAACTGATCCTGTCGTCGTGGGTGTAAACGATCAGAGACCAGGAAAAGACACCAGATGGAGACGGAAGACGATCCGAAAGAACTACAAAACTAGAAGGTTGACAGAAGACTTTATGTCTGTGGCAGAGCAGGCCCCGCCAAGGAGATCACGTCTTATTTACACCGAATTGGCTCCATGTGGCGAGAGGTTCGTCTGGGTGGAATCGGCTTGTCGTCTTGGGGGTGAGCAGTCGAGGTTGCGCCGCATTGGTAGGCACCCTTGCACATACGAACGAATAGAGCCAAAAACCAAAAAGTCCCAAAGGTCACCGTCCCGACATACAAGGATTAGGAGGCTCTGAAGACTCGAGAGTATAACCGTCAGTGGTGCGCCGAGAGTATCCGCATGCGAGATTTACCTGCGAGAGACCATGGATGATGGAGCTGCGAGCATCTGGAGCTTCTTGGAAGGCTTCTTGGAGTCTTCGAGTCCCTCTTTGGACCCCCAACATGGCCCCCAAGATCCTAGCTCTTATTCTCGAACTGTCAGGGTACAAGCACAAGGGATTTCCATCCCGCAGTCCCAGTGGTCTGGTGCGAAAAGTTCTGTGTCATAGTTTCTGTTTGTGGTCCACTCGGCCGATGACGCGATCTGAGGACAAGATGTCGAAGACTCGAAGTGGGAAAATTTTGGCGTTGGGACCCGGTTTTATCCCGTGGGGCATCGATTGAGCTTTGCGGGCGACACGCCCACGACGCCTTATGTAACAAAGGAACACCACGACTTCTTCCAATTCAGTGTGAATGAATGCCTCATCATTGAAATAGTGGCGAGACTATCAGATATACTCCGAAAGGTACCATCTGATGAGAATCGCCCGAATTTTGGTGAAGTATGTATAACTCCAAACTCACCTATACAATACAGTCATGAACCTCGTCTCACCTATGACCTCGATAGTAACTGCTGCCTCATTCTCATATCCTTGCCCGTGTACTTTGTGTCGCACTTTCCTCCGCTCAAATGCGTACAACTTGTAGTTGATTCAAAAGAGAAAGTGTCTGTTGCCCCAGTTGCCGATCATGCTCAAGGTTGGTCGTGTCTGACTGGGCAAGGCGATGATCCTTCACTTGGGACAAGCTGCATCTCGACTTCACCTGCCCTGGCAAACTTCAAAGATTCTTGCCATTTATCGGCAATTACGGCCAAACAAAGGCGCTTGCCTCGTTGTAAGTGCGCATTTCCAGAGTCACATGGCGTTAGGACTTGTTCAACGTCTTGCTTTGCTCTTGCCCTCTATGCCTTGATGAACATAACAAGCACCACGCGGCCTTCTCACGACATGCTGTGAGAGTTCTTGTGTTATCCCGCTACAATATGATCTGACCTTCCGGGTGAGCAAATTTCATGATCACCTCTAGATCGTCCATTGGACTCAATAGCAGCTGTGAGCTGCAGTCCCGTACGTGAGATCTGCTGCCGATGGTGCAACCATGGCAAGGTCTGGGCACCCTTCCATCGGTTGTAACCGAGTTCCAGGCTGCATCTCAGACAAGGGATATGATCCTCATCCCGCGCAGAGTTTGCATGACACTCAGGGGTTAGACGCACTTGCGGACTCGCCAGGCAGCATCTTCTCATGGTGAGACTGGATTTCAACTTTTGTCGGGAGCGACGGGGAACATCAACAAATCAGCACCTCGCTGATCTTCAGCTGAAAAAGTTTGCTTCTCAAAAGGTCCCCAAAGATGTCTTGTCCCTCGGGGGAAAAGACGAGACGGGTAAGCATATTGAACCGAAGTCTTGGTTCCTTCCTCATGCGAAGGCTGGGCGCAATGAAGCCATCCTAGCCACCATCGCGTGATAGTGCCAATGAGCCGCGGCCAAGCGAGGTAGGTGAGACTTGGGACCTTTGCCTCGTTTACCCAAGCACGAGCCTCCTGATTACTGATTTTGGAACATAAATAATTAAGACCCTCTCACCAGAGTTGCTGTTCCAACATCAACTGTGTGTCACTATGCTCATTTGAATGGCTGCATCGTGAATGATGGCAAGCCGGTAGAAAAGCGACTCGTACGTGGCACGTAAAGCACATCCAACTGTTATTGATAGGCACACTCGATCAATTTGGTCCTCATTCGTGTAAGTAAAGAGGAGGCATTAATCGGTCGAGGGAGACTTATGAGGGGATTGAGCTGCGGGCTTTGAGTCCAGTTTCGCTATATTTCATCGAGTGTTAGTCAGCGACGCAGGGAGATGAACCCTGATCATGTCCACGCTTGCCCATCAATGGCATCCGGTCGGGAAACAAGGAATCCGTGAATTGCCAAGCATCCCTTCTTGACCAACTCTTGCCAGAAGTAAGGTAGTATGATGAGATTTTAGATATCCAGCCAAGTGAATCCGATCTTGAAGGGCCCTCCTGATACCTCATTCTGCCCAATGCTATTTGAGTCCTTTCCAAAGGTAGAGAACAA